CTTCTATTTTTTGCATTCTTTGTTGAGTATCTGTCATCACCTGTTGAAAGGTTTCCATTTTTTGATCCATTTTAAGAAGATCGTTTTTCAAATCTTCATATTTTTTTTCCAAATCTTTTTTCATTTCCATTTTGAAATCTGTGATTGCTTGGAGCAGTGGTGGCGAACCTATGGCACAGGTGCCAGAGGCGGCACTCAGAGCCCTCTCTGTGGGCACGCGCGCCGTCGCCCCAGTCCTAGGCCTTCAGCTGGGTTTTATAAAACCTTTTCGCTTTAGGCCTCCACCGCCGTGTGCAAAAAAAAAAAAAAGGTTCAATCAGTCAATTTCAACTTCTCCCGGGAAAAAAAAAGATCTTGCAAAGTTGGAATTGATTGATTGAACTTTTTAGTCCCACCCAGTCTGCCGTTACCACCGCAGCCACGGCCACCCAATTGGCCATGCCCACCCAATTGGCCATACCCAGCCAATGGGCCACACCCACCCGGCACTCGACGATGCATAAGTGGGTTTTGGGTTGTAGTTTGGGCACTCGGTCTCTAAAAGGTTCGCCATCACTGGCTTGGAGTATCGCTTGAGTATCTTTTTGTTGAGTTTCCTATTGTAAAAAGTAGTAATTGATTTTTTGGGGGCTAGGCTCACCGAGGTTGAGGCGGGGGCCGAGGAGCCCTTCCTCACCCCTTTAGCCAAATTTGAAGCATTAATCTTCTAATTGTTGTATTTATTTATAATCCACTAAGGAGCCCAATGGCTAATTATAATCCACCAGGCGGCCTGATGGCCAATTGTAATCCAGTGTCCTCCTATTATCAGGATACAAGGCCAGACATGATTTTTAAAAAGGGAAAAAAAACAATTCCATTGAGGAGATAATTAAAAAAAGAAAGAGAAAAAACTTCCACAACCATCCAAAAAGGAGAAAGAATATTGCAGCTGAATAAACAAAGGTGCTAGAGCAGGCATGTCCAAAGTCCAGCCCGCGGGCCATTTGCGGCCCGCGGCCCGGTTTAATCCGGCCCTCGAACAGCCCTCCCTGCTCTATGTAAATGCGGCCCTCCCATGGCCCTCCGGCAAGTCCCATGAGAGAGAGAGAGAGAGAGAGAGAGAGAGAGACAGAGACAGAGGTACTTGCACTTGCACTTCTGTCTCTCTCTCTCTCTCTCTCATGGGACTTGCCCCCTCGCAGGGCTCCTCATTGGCCCTGCGCCCGGGTGTCCCACCCCCTGGGAGAAGGGCGGCCAGGAAGTCCCTTTCCCGGGCTGGCCCCGTCCCAGGCGCACGTGGCTGGGGAGCCATGCGGGGAAGCCCCGGGA